GTATATCTTCTTTGGAAAAATGTCTATGTCATCTGCTCATTTTTTGATTGGGTTGTTTGTTTGTTTGATATTGAGTTTTATGAGCTGTTTTTATATTTTGGAAATTAACCCCTTGTCAGTCACATTGTTTGCAAATATTTTCTCACATTCTGTAGGTTGTATTTTCATTTCGTTGATGGTTTCCTTTGCTATGCAGAAGCTTTTAAGTTTGATTAGGTCCCATTTGTTTATTTTTGTTTTTTTTTCTATTGCCTTGGGAGACTGGTCTAAGAAAATATTGCTACTATTTATGTCAGAGAATGTTTTGCCTGTCTTCTCTTCTAGGAATTTTACGGTGTCACATCCTATATGTGTCTTTAAAGCATTTTGAGTTTGTTTTTGTATATGATGTGAAGGAGTGTTCTAATTTCATTGATTTACAAATAGCTGTCCAGCTTTCCCAACACCATTTGCTGAAGGCACTGTGTTTTCTCCATCGTATATTCTTGCCTCCTTTGCTGAAGATTAATTGTATGGGTTTGTTTCTGGGCTCTCTATTCTGTTCCATTGATCTGTATGTCTGCTTTTGTGCCAATACCACAGTGTTTTGATTAGTGTAGCTTTGTAGTATTGTCTGAAGTCTGGGAGAGTTATACCTCCAGCTTTGTTCTTTTTCCTCCGAATTGCTTTGCCAATTCAGGGCCTTCTGTGATTCCATATAAATTTTAGGATTATTTGTTCTAGTTCTGTGAAAAATGTCATGGGTAATTTGATAGATATAGCATTAAATCTGTAGATTGCTTTCAGTAGTATGGCCATTTTAATAATATTAATTCCTCCGATCCAAGAGCATGGGATATCTTTTCATTTCTGTGAATCATCTTCAGTTTCCTTTATCAGTGTTTTAGAATTATCAGCATATAGGTCTTTCACCTCCTTGGTTAGGTTTATTCCTGTGTTTTTGTGTGTGTTTGTGTGTGTTTAGTGCGATTTTAAACTTTTTTTTTTTTTTTTTACTTTCTGATATTTCATTGTTACTGTAAAGAAATGCAGCAGATTTCTGTATATTAATCTTGTACCCTGCTACCTTGCTGAATTCATTTATTAGTTCTAATAGTTTTTGTGTGGAGTCTTTAGGGTTTTCTGTATAGAGTATTGTGTCATCTGCATATAATGACAATTTTACCTCTTCCCTTCCAATTTGGATACCTTTTATTTCTTTTTCTTGTCTGGTTGCTGAGGCTAGGACTTGCAAAAATATGTTGAATAGCAGTGGTAAGAGTGGGCACCCTTGTCTTGTTCCAGAATTTAGTGGGAAGGCTTTCGGCTTTTCACTGTTGAGTATTGTGTTGGCTCTGGGTTTGTCATAAATGGTTTTTATTATGTTGAGATGTATTCCCCCTATACCCACTTCAGTGAGCATTTTCATCGTGAATGGATGTTGAATTTTATCACATGCTTTTTCTACATCTATTGAGATGATCATGTAGTTTTTGTCGTTTCTTTTGTTGATGTGGTATATCACATTGATTGATTTGCATATGTTGAACCATCTTTGTGACCCTGGTAAGAATCCAACTTGATCATGGTGTATGATCCTTTATATGTGTTGTTGGAGTTGGCTTGCTTAAATTTTGTTGAGGATTTTTGCATCTCTAGTTGTCAAAGATATTGGCCAGTAATTTTCTTTTTTTTGTAGTGTCTTTGTTTTTGGTATCAGGGTGATGGTGGCTGCATAAACTGACTTTGGGAGTGTTTCCTCCTCTTAAATCTTTTGGAATAATTTGAGAAGGATAGGTATACGTTCCTCTTTGTATGTTTGGTTGAATTCCCCAGTTAAGCCATCTGGTCCTGGATTTTGTTTGTGGGGAGTTTTTTTAGTTTTTTTGTTTGTTTTTTATTACAGATTCTAGTTCACTTCTAGTGATTGGTCTGTTCAAATTATGTTTCTTCTTGATTCAATTCTGGCTATGTTTCTAAAACCTTATCTGTTTCTTCTCGGTTGTTCAATTTGTTGGTTTATAACTGTTCATAGTATTTTCTTATGACTTTTTGTATTTCTGCAGTATTGGTTGTTATTTCTCATTTCTTATTTTGTTTATTTGGGTCTTCTCTCTTTTCTTCTTGTTAGCCTGGCTAGAGGTTTGTCGATTTTGTTTATCCTTTCAAAAAAACCAGCTCTTGGTTTTATCGAGCTTTTCTATTGTTTTGATCTCTACTTTATTTATTTCCTCTCTGATCTTTATTATTTCCTTCCTTCTAATGACTTTGGCTTTTGTTTATTTTTCTTTTTTCTAATTCTTTTAGGTGGTAGGTTAGGTTATTTGCTTGAGATTTTACTTGTTGCTCAAGAAAGGCCTGTATCGCTCTGAATTTCCCTCTTTGAACTACTTCTGCTGCATCGCATAGATTTTGTAAGGTTGTGTTTTCATTGTCGTTTGTCTCGAGGTATTTTCTGATTTCCTCTTTGATTTCATTGTTGACTCATTGGTTTTTTAGTAAGATGTTGTTTAGTCTCCGTGTGATTTTTTTTCCCATTTTTCTTTCTGTGGTTGATTTCTAGTTTGATACTGTTGTGGTCAGAAAAGATGCTTGAAATAATTTCTTCTTAAATTCATTGAGGCTTGTTTTGTGTCCTCGTGTGTGGTCTATCCTACAGAATGTTCCATGAGCACTTGAAAAGAATGTGTATTTTGTTTGTTTTTTGTTTTTGTTTTCTTTAGATGAAGTGTCCTGTAGATACCAATTAAGTACATCTGTTCTGTTGTGTCATTTAGGATCTCTCTTGCCTTATTGATTTTCTGTCTGAAAGATCTGTCCATTGATGTCACTGGGGTATTAAAGTCTCCTACTATTATTGTATTCCTGTCAATTTCTCCCTTTATGTCTGTTAGTATTTATTTTGTATATTTAGGTGTTCCTACATTGGGTGCATATATACATTAACAAGTGTAATGTTCTCTTCTTGTATTAATCCCTTTATCGTTATATAGTGTCCTTCTTTATCTTTCTTTTTGGACTTTGTTTTAAAGTCTGTTTTGTCTGATATGAATATCGCTACTCCTGCTTTCTTATTGTTTCCATTTGCATGAAGTATCTTTTTCCATCCCCTCACTTTCAATCTATGTGTGACTTTTGCCCTAAAGTGAGTCTCTTGTAGGCAGCATATTGTAGGTACTTGTTTTTTTATCTGAGCAGATTTGAAATTTTTATTCTAGTTATGCACTTTCCAAATCCAGAGTTTCTATTTGGTTCCTTTAAAAAAAAAAACAACTAATTTTTTCCTCTTTATTGATACTCTCTCTTCGGTGAGGCATGATTGTCATGCCTTTAACTTTTTAATTCCCTTTAATTCTTTAGATATGGTTTCTTTTGCTTCTTTGAACATATTTATATTAGTTGACTTAAAGGCTTTGCCTAGTAAATCCAACATCTGGGCTCCCTCAAGAATAATTTCTATTGACTGCTTTTTTTCACTATATATGGGCCATACCTCACTATTTCTTTGTGTGTCATAGCTTTTTGTCAAAAACTGGATATTTAATATACTGTGGTAACTGACAATCTTATTTCCCCCTTTTCCATTCTCAGAGTTTGTTTTTGTTGCTGTTTGTTGTTGTTGTTTGTTTAGTGACTTTCCTGGACTAATTCTGCAGTCCTTATTCTTTGTCATGTGTGGCTACTGAAGTCTGCTTGGTTAGCTGAGTCTTCGGGTAATGATTTGACAGATTTTCTTAAATGCTTTTGACGAACATGTCTCCCATCTTTTTTTCAGTGGGCATTTTGTTTGTTGGGGTATGCATAACTGTGCCTTAGTCTTCCCTTCCTAATTGTGCAGAAACTCAAAGTCAAGCATGGGTGAGAGGCTAGAGCTCTGTAAGCTCTTTCCTGGGTATTTGCACAGCCTTCTAGATCCCCAGGAATATGTCAGAAATTAAAGCCCCTTATGGGCATCTCATTTCTTAGATTTTCTTTTTAAGTTTTTTTGGCCAGACTCTTGTTTGCGCCAACTAGAATCAGTACCTGTGGCAACTGCAGTGTTAAGCAATTGCCGCTGTTTTTTGGGAGACAAACCTCCTGGGGATAGGGCTTTCCTCACTGAATGTCCTCAGAGTTAGATGAAATAAAAATTAGCTTTGGGGAATTCCCTGGTGGTCCAGTGGTTTGGACTCCACGCTTCCACTGCAGAGTGCATGGGCTTGACCCCTGGTTGGGGAACTGAGATCCCACAGGCTGTGTAGTGTGGCCAAAAAATTAGCTTCATGAATGGGGCTTTTTTAAGGAGCATCATTCAGGTCAAGTAGTGACAGTGCTCTGGGAACAGGGCTTTTGATGGTGCTCCAAATTCATCTGCCTCCTTCAGTGGCTACTAGGCTGCTGGCTTTCATAGCTAGTGTGGTTCTGAGGCCCTGGTTTCCAAGGCTACCATGAAGCTGGGAAGAGGGTACGAAATAGAGCAAGTTAAAATACCAGAAAGCTTACTGTTCTTATGAAGATTCAGCTGTTCCTCTTGAATAAATGTTCCTAGGATTGTTGCAATGCTTTAGCTAACTTCTAGAGTGCTGAAAAAGTTGATTTTGAAAATTTACACCAGTATTCTCATTGCTTTTATGGAGGAGTGTATTTTCAGAGGTCCTTCATTCATAATTCCAAAAGTTCTCCTCATTCTGTCTTTGCTTTTTTTAAAAGAAAAAATATTTATTTATTTGGTCGCACCAGGTCTTAATTGCGGCTCGCGGGCTTGTTAGTTGCAGCTTGTGGGCTTGTTAGTTGCGGCTCACTGGCTCCTTAGTTGCAGCACACAGGCTCCTTAGTGGTAGCATATGAACTCTCAGTTATGGCATGTATGTGGGATCTAATTCCCTGACCAGGGATTGAACCCAGGCCCCCTGCATTGGGAGCATGGAGTCTTAACCACTGTGCCACCAGGGAAGTCCCCCTGTCTGTGCTTTTAGCCACTATGCACCCTTGCCTCTGTTCTTTATGATATCTAATTATGGCCTGTGTATATTTATTGTCAGCCATGAAAGTCCAGTCTTCGATTTCATTGAGAGCTGCTTGCGAAATAAACATGAAATGGTTATTTATGAAGCTGCTTCAGCTATCATCCATCTTCCTAACTGTACTGCAAGGGAGTTGGCACCTGCTGTTTCAGGTTAGTTGTATATTTGATAACTGGCTTTTGTTTATTTTCTTGTGTTTTTGTTTTAAGTTCCATAGGTCTACAGAATAGGTATTTTTGAACCTTAGCTCTGTATATATAGTTTTTACATTTTGATACATAAATGGTTTATTTTAGCTGTTTTTTAGTTACAATTGTACCTCCATATCCTTGGGTTCCACATCCCACCAATTCAACCCAATCGATTCACAGTTCGTTGAATCCTTGGATGTGGAACCTGCAGATACCAAGGGCTGATTGTGCTACACCATTTTATATAAGGGTCTTTAGCATCCCCAGATTTTGGTATCTGCTAGGGGTCCTGGAAGGTCCGGGGTCCAGTCCCCTGCAGATATGGAGGGGTGACTGTATTTCTTTTTCTGAAGTTATCATTTCCCCATATTAAAAAATTTAAGTTTTTACTTAGAAAACAAGTAACTTTAATGCCTTCAGTTTTCCATGTTTAAAAAACCCATTTATTCTTACAACCATAAATATTCCTGCTCTTTAAATTCAGATATTAATGGGTATATTAACTTTTTTAGGAAAAAAAATAAACTTTGTTTCCTATATTTAAAGTTTTTATAGCTCAACAAAAAGTACTTTTTCTATTTTTGATGATGTATTTTTCATGTGAATTTTTTTTTCTTTTCTTTTCTTTTTTTTTTGCGGTACGCGGGCCTCTCACTGTTGTGGCCTCTCGCGTTGCGGAGCACAGGCTCCAGACATGCATGCTCAGCGGCCATGGCTCATGGGCCCAGCCGCTCCGCGGCATGTGGGATCCTCCCAGACCGGGGCATGAACCCGCGTCCCCTGCATCGGCAGGTGGACTCTCAACCACTGCACCACCAGGGAAGCCCCATGTGAATTTTTGATGCTGTCATCTAATTTCCTTATGCGTATTTTGAATGTGATTCTTCATGTACTGTATTTTCAGAAACATGCTATACGTTGAAATGAGCTATGTTCACAGTGACCTTTTTTCTTTCCTAGTTCTTCAGCTTTTCTGTAGTTCTCCTAAGCCAGCTTTGAGATATGCAGCTGTGAGGACCTTGAACAAGGTAGGTGTTCCTTTGCTAACTATTGACTTGTATCAGTGTTCAATTGAGAAACATTAAATACGAAGCATTTGGCTTTCTGTCCAAGGTTAGTAGATATGATTTATGGGCTTCACTTCTGTAGCACCTCACTTGTATTTGCAGCTTTAGATATGGCCATTTATACTATTATTCATGTGCTCAATAGCCACATGTAGTTAGTGACTATCATATTAGACACTGCAGATATAGAATATTTCTATCATTGCAGGAAGTTCTCTTGGACAGTGTTGGTCTATAGCGACACTATCCAATAGAAATACTATGTGAGTCACATATGCAATTTTAAATTTTATTGTAACCACATTAAATTCTTTATGATGAGATTAATTTTAAACATATGTTTTATTTACCCTAACATTTATAAAATTTATCAACGTGATCAGTATAAAATTATTAGAGATATATTTTACCTTCTGTTTTTCATACTAAGTCTTTGATATCTGGTGTATATTTTGTATTTACAGCATACCTCTGTTTGGAATAACCACATTTCAAAGGCTTAGTAGTCACATATGGTTATTGACTACCATATTGGACAGCATAAATCTAGAGGATAGAGTGCAGAAACACAGAATGAATTAAATAACTATAAAAGTTTTATTTTATTTATTTATGTTTTTAAATATTTATGTGGCTGTGCTGGGTCTCAGTTGCGCCAGGCAGGCTTCTTAGTTGTGGCTTACCAGCTCCTTAGTTGCGGCTCGCTGGCTTCCTAGTTGTGGCATGTGAACTCTTAGTTGTGGCATGCATGTGGGATCTAGTTCCCTGACCAGGGATCGAACCTAGACCCCCTGCATTGGGAGTGCGAAGTCCCAACCATTGTGCCACCAGGGAAGTCCCTAAAAATTTTAAATGAAAGTTTAATGTTGTAGAATAATGGTCTAGTGTAATATGTGGTCGACTAAATTAATTGTATTAACAACTGGAGGAGAGAAATTTAGAGCAGCCATGGAAGGAGGCTTTATAGAACAATATGAATTGTATTTTGAAGAGTTGATATCGGTCCACATTCCATCATCTATAATCTTGGGACCAGATGTATCTCAGAAATCAGTATTTTGAGAATTTTAGAGAGGTAATATGGTGCCATCTCTTATATTAATACTAACCCCTTTGGGCCTAGAGCAGTTAGACACATTAGACATGTTAATATTTCTGCTTTATACATATGACTATCCTCACTACATGAAATAAATTAAGACTTAGTTTTACATTAGTTTGGGTCATTTTTTGCTGTTAAGTGAATTCTGATGGCAATACTTTGCTGAGTTCTCAAAATTTTAGCATTATGGGTAAAGGATTCTATACCAATATTGGATTAGGCAGAGAGGCAAACATCATCAGCAAAAGCAAAGAAGCAGGACAATGACAGACATGTTTTAGTGACCGTGAGCAATCCAGTTTGGTTGCAGTTTGCTTGCTTAAATACAGAAGTGTTTTATAAGTGGTAAGATATTACATTTAAGTGTCTTCGAGTAGTGTTTATCATTCTAGGTCCTACTCTCAGATACTCTAAAATCTAGTAGAATAGATAACCATGAACACATGTACTATAAGGACGAATAGGCCAACTGTAATAAAAGACAGACTATGATATTGTTATAAAGGTTATAGAAACCTAGGAAGATAAAGTGCTGTGCTATACTGTAACTAGCAGTTAATCATTTATCAAATGATACATTGTATCTTATTTATTACAAACATTCATCTTGAAACAATTGCCTTTTAGTGTATGTTGTCCCATTTAGATTTTAAAAAGCCATTTACCTTAATTAAAATTTCTGCCCAGTCCCTCCCATCAAGCCTCTTAGATAGCCTCATCCACCAGAGGGCAGAGAGCAGAAGCAAGAAGAACTACAGTCCTGCAGCCTGTGGAAAAAAACCACATTCACAGAAAGATAGACAAGATGAAAAGGCAGAGGGCTATGTACCAGATGAAGGAACAAGATAAAACCCAAGAAAAACAACTAAATTAAGTGGAGATAGGCAACCTTCGAGAAAAAGAACTCAGAGTAATGATAGTGAAGATGATCCAGGACCTAAGAAAAACAATGGAGGCAAAGATTGAGGAGATGCAAGAAATGTTTAACAAAGACCTAGAAGAATTAAAGAACAAACAAACAGAGATGAACAATACAATAACTGAAATGAAAACTACATTAGAAGGAGTCGATAGCAGAATAACTGAGGCAGAAGAACGGATAAGTGACCTGGAAGACAGAATGGTGGAATTCACTGCTGCAAAACAGAATAAAGAAAAAAGAATTAAAAGAAATGAAGACAGCCTAAGAGACCTCTGGGACCCCTATAATGC